CCAGGTGGTCGAGCACGTGAAGTGAAAATAGGGCACTTTGATAACATTCTGATTCACCCAGTTCCAGTTGCTGCGCAGCAACGTTTGCTCCACCTCGGGGTCTGCAGTGGCTGCTTGTTGTCAGCCTTCAATCGCTTTAACGTCTTCCCTTTGGCCATCACTGCGAGACAGGGTGACCAACAGGCACTTGCAAGTTGCTTTTGTACACTCTAGCAGGCTGATTGAACCAGCTTGTGCTGGGAGCTACGGGGCTAACTGCATCAGTGGGCGGTCCAAAAGACGGTTGCGCATTTAGAGTTTAGAGGCTAGCCTCGTTGGCCGAAGCTCTTGCATTGTCGCCATAGCCGAGGCATTGAAGGCTGAAGATCAGTCGCTCTTGGTGCAGCGACTTGGATTTGTGGCTGCGAGCACCCGCTTTTGCCGCTCTGCAACATTCGACCTCGGCCAAGGATACCATACAAGCACTGCTCTCAGAAGGCAGTCAAAGGTCTCTGACAAGCTTCGGAAGCCGTGCTGCAGCTGAGGCCTTGGGACATCGCCACAAATGGCTTAGGTGAAGGCGATCCAGAGAGAAGCACGACAGATTGGTGTTAAGCAGCTGTCGGGCTCGTCGTGACTTGCAAGAGTCGTTTCATGTGCACCGAGGATATGCTGATCTTGCGGCAAAGTCTGGTGTCGATGGCCTGAACCTGGACACAATGGACTCCCTTGGTCCATTTGTGGTTGCTCCCGGTCAGGATCGGCCTGCACCTGATCTGAAGGTAGCAAGGTAGTAAGGTGTCGCACACGTTCCAGCCGCCTCCGACGGTCGTTTTCCCCTCCTCGATTCACGCTCAATCCCCGCCCGCCCGCAGACTTCTTCCTTTGTTTCATCGAGGTGATGCCAGCCACCGAGTTTTTTGATGCCGCCGAAAAGGCTGGGCCGAGATGTACTTGTGTCAGTGAGTGGATCCCCGTGTGATAGAAGCGTGTCTTCGGAGAACGTATATTCTATGAGGCTGGCATCTTCCACTTGATTGTCGAGCCAGAACTCAACCTGTACAACGGCTTGTTCCTTCTGAGCCTTCCCTACATGGCCCTGGTACACTTGAGCTGTTGCAGTGGCAGCTCCAAGGAACACCACATCACAGGGCTGGCTCTACACACTGTCGCAGTGCCCACCTGAGGGATGCTCAGAGGCTCGGCTCAAGCAGAGCAAACATAGGGAACTTTATAACAGAAGATGAAGGATGGAGAAGATGCACAGGGTCGAAGCCAACGCCGCAACAGAAGTAAGGTTGCGCATGTTGGCCCCGTGCACAAGGCGTTGCCGGGTGGTACGGCGGGACAGAGCACCCAACGCGTAGAACCACACGACAAATCTTAGGAGTGAATAGGCTGGCTTTCTGCCTGAAGAGAATATAATGCGAGTAAGTAATTCTTGAGCGAGGTAGAGATGGACAGAGCCTCTACCAGTAGCTACCCATCCGTGGTCCATTCGGTCAGTCAGGGAATGCCAGGGTCTTGCAGAGCTCCTGCAGGTTCCTTTTTCGCCACTTTGGTTTGCAGCCCTGCATCGCAGACCGACCGGCACTCCGTGACCCTTCCTTCTGTCGGTACCCGCACTAGCAAAACGACGGTTCCCATCATGTTTGGGTAGCCGGCGCCATGGTTTTGCTTCTTTGGAACCGCATGGGGAGTGCTTTCGCCGCCACTTCCATGCTATTCGGACAGTTGAAGATGCGACACATTCACACCCTTGCAAAGTAAGGATGTGCGGCCGTTCACTCCGCTGGTTTCTCTGCAGAAATGGGTCATGCGCCAGTCCATGCCCCATGTCTGTGGCCGCTGGTCCACAGAAAGGTCGCAAGAAATCCTGCATCCCGGCAAACTGGTGTGTGGCAGACTTCCTGCTAACAGGAGGGACGGTCGGACAACCAAAACTGAGGACTGCGTACTTCAACGCTATAGGCTTTACGGCGTGGGAGAACATATTTGGAATCTGGTGCCGGGGCCGGCATGAGTTCTTTTCATGACACGAGATCAGGAGCATGGCGAGGAGGCATCTCAGTCTCTGAGTGACGACACCTCAATGTAACCATTCTGGCTCAGCGCGCCAAGCTTCAGCAAAGGAATGGAATCACAGAGCGAGACGGCGAGCTGCTCCGCAGAGCGATGAAGATACTGCGCCATTTCCACCACTTTCTCGTTGACACTTGGAACAAGTTTGTGGTGGAGCATCTGTGCTAGGCAGACGAATCGTGTTTAAGAGTCCCTCTGATCCGTCTGCTGCTTCTTTCCAGGATCCGAGCACGGAGTGGTTACCATTCTATCCTGTTCAGCATCTGACGGCTGCCGCAAGTCATGTCTTTGTTTCAAAATTTGTCATGGCCTGAGCCTGCAGATGGGTCTGTCTTGCTAGGATTTGGTGCGCCCGGATGGTTTGTTAAAAAATCTTCAGATCCATGATAGTGGCAAGGTTGGTCAGGGTCGGGCACTCTTCCTGCTGATCAACACAGACACGCAGACGGCCGGTACTCAGGCCGGTTTGTCGTGACGCTGTGCCTATGTCGTCATCCCAATCACTGTCGCTGACAGTCGTCAGCGAAATCAAAATTGCGACCATCACCATGTTCATCCCCACACTCAGTGCGTTACGGTCTTTATCTTCATCAACAGTGCAGTATCTGCGTCAATGTTGTCCTGAAAAGTCCTTCTTCGTCAATGTCAGCATCAGCATCAACATCAGTCACCACCACCGTCAGCACCAACTCAAGCCAAATAGCCCTGTCAAGATTAGGCTAGGGGGATTGTTGGGAGTACAGAGGCTTGGATGCACAGGGTATTGCCTTGGTGGTTCGGCTTTGTGGCGGTTTTTTAGCGCAGCACTCCAACCTCTGGACTCGAAATCGTGAGCATGCTAGTCAGGACTGGGTATTGTCAACCCCGATAGTTGGGCATCAGGAGTTCTACAGTCTGTACCTTGTCTCAGCACTCAGAGGCAGAAGGTTCAGAAAAGCGCTATGTATTTTTTGGTGTGCACACTGGCCAGGTTGAGCTAAGGTACCACGGCAACGTGCAAATCCAGACCAAGAGCCAATGTATCGTGGATGCACAAGAACCTATTCAAAAGCATGTCCTTCATGCTGGTACACTCTAGTTCGAGTCTGCCAAAGCCGTAAACAATCATTTGCCCATGGCTGAGGCCTCGTCCAGTCTTGTGCCGAGAGGCATCGTGGGTATCTTGGACAGGAACCAGGGGCTACCGTGCAGAAAAAACACATCGGCCCGGCTGTGTTTCTTCAAAAGCAATATTTTTTGTATGTGTACACACGCAAATATATGTATATAGAAAAGTATATGGTTTTGAGGTTCCGAGGAGAGAGCATGTTTCTATATTACACACACACGCATATATATCTATATCTATATCTATATCTATATCTATATCTATATCTATATCTATATCTATATCTATATCTATATCGGCAACTTGCGTCCCTTCACGCAGATACTCCGAGAGATGATTTCTCCAACGATGAAAGTCAGTTCTGATTTCAATAGTGTCAGATCCAAGCCCCCGCAATGCGTATGAATCACCGCTGGCCTTGACTCCTAAACAGCAAGTAACGCGTTGTCAGCTGGGCGGGTGGGAAAAAACAACAAGTTGCAACACCCCTAAGACAAACCCTGCCATTAGATCTTACATTGGCCCCAGTGGTAGCAGTAGTATTCTCTGTCACGTTCATGCAAAAAGAGATGCCGTTCAGCTCAACGTCGTAGTTCGTATGGACTACAATGCTATGCCTTGCCGCCTGGTAGCCCCGTTAGACATCTCCATATTAGCTCCCATATCGACCTGAAGGTTAATCCCCAACTGCTTTAGCTTGGGGTTTCTATCTCTAGGGGCGGGGGGCCCAATCGTACTCCGGAGCCCAAAACGGAACGGAACGGAACGGAACGCCGGAACGGAACGGAGCGCCGGAATGGAACGGAACACGGGAATAGAACGGAACTACTTCGGAACGGAATGGAACGCCGGAACAGAACGGAACGGAACGCCAGAACAGAACGGAGCGGAACGTCGGAACGGAACGGAACGCCGCAAGAGAACGGAACGCCGGAACGGAACGGAATGCCGGAACGGAGCGGGACGGAACCCCGGAACAGAACGGAACGCCGAAACAGAATTGCTTGTGTTCTATGCCGGCATTCTATTTTGCGAGGAGTTGCTGCGCATGAATTTGTCATTCCAGGTTCGAACTCAGGTTGTCGCGTGCTAGAGGTTCAAGTCTAATGCCTCTTGGTCCCATATACCTATACATAAGCACACAAGCAGAGTGCATGATTTAAACCTGAGTTCCTTACTAGGCAACTTCAAGGGAAATTGTACAATCGTTGTAGAAACCTCGTGAAACTTTCTGCGGGCCCTTATAACACCACTTGCATCAAAAATCCTGAACAAGGCCCCAGGCTGAGGCCAGGTCATCGAGTCCCGAGCTTTTGTGCAGAGATATCTGTCGGAGATTCATGCTCACATGCCCTAAACCCTACCCCAACTTGAAGCCTTTGCCCTTACATGTAAACCCCGAAACTTTATATCCGTAAACCCAACAAAATCCGTATAGAACCGTTTTGCGGACGGGATCGCAGCTCGCATTCTGAGGCTTCCGCTAAGCGATTGGTGGATTGGTAACTTGAAGTCAGGATAATCCAAACAGTAGGGCCCATGCTCTGAATGGAGTTCAGTGGCAACGGCAGTGGTGTCGGCGCGGCATTGTGCGGGCGGACGTTGTGGAGGCAGGAGCGTGTCCTGCACACTTGTTGCCACTGCCACAACTGCTGCAATTGGTTGCAAGTCGTTCGACAGGTCTGTTTTGGGGGTGCACTGCTCTGAGTTCGCAGCCGTTTGATTTCAGACTTATTGCATGGGCTGACTTCGTGCGCACTCCTTGAAAGGATTCCAGGGCATGCAACGTCTTCAGGACCTCAATCTCAGCTCCGTCAAGATTGGCATGTTCAAGTGTCGCGTGGTCCTGCCGACCCTTGAACACTTCGAGTTCAAATCCAAGCATTCGGGGGAAAACACGAAAGGCGTCAGCTTCAAGTGCCGTCTGCTTTCAGACGATCCATCGGTCTATTTGCCCGACTGTGCCGTTTGGGTAAATCAGTTGAACTTGTTTCATGCGTTCTATCCTTCTCCATCCGAGATGCTTTGGATCTTCCTTGTACATAATAGTTCCGTGCTGAAGGCTGCAGAACTGGGGGGCCCCTGGGCCCCTAGGTGTGTGTTCGGGCTAGTGGACCGTCCTTCTGCCGCATTCCGCGAGGACCTGGAGAACCGACAGGTAGGCAGGCTCCTCTTCTTTACTGGTTGTTTTGTGGCCGTGGCTTTGTTGTCTTCGGAGGTTGTCACCTTGGCTCTCCCCTCGACAGTCTTGGGTGGGAAGAATTTGTCCGGCATGTGCAAAGGCTGCAAAGGCTCCGAAATGAAGGTCAAGGAAAAACATCGTATCTGAGAACCTCGGTTTTCGCCGATCAAGCTGACCGTGGAGATGGATCAGAAGCTGGAAGGGCTGAAGGGCCCTGAAGCCTCTTCTCTGGCAGCAGTTTGCAAGAAGTCGTGTCAATGTCCACAGTATGTCTGCCGTGCTTGTTCCACGGCGGTGGTTGGTTTGCACGAACGCATGCAAGCTTTCGTTGATCGCTGGGCTGCTAGCTTGATGTCATTTCTCTGCCGGGTCTGTGATGCTTCCATCGTGAAAAAGTGAAAATGGCCACATCGCCAAACATAGGGTGTGTGTGTGTGTGTGTGAATGCTGTGCTGTAGTCGTTCTCCTTTACTGAAACGACGCATGGCGTTGGGATTATAGGCTTGATCGCACGAGAGTTTTTGAATGGACTTCTACAGTGTTGAACATATATGCGAAAGCCTTCAACAACGATGCAAATGTCTACATAGCTGAGTGGCTCTTCACGATGGTTTTTCCGATCAATGCTGAACGACTCCGAAGCCGTGTAAAACTTTGTAGATGGAGCGAAGTCTCGTGCGCCCACTGTACGGGTTCCTGCAATGCACGCACAAGTGCTGGGCGGCTAGCAATAAAGACCTCATGATCTCTGTTCTACGGGTTTTCAGTTTCTCACAACTTCGGACGAAAACCTGCGAAGAACCTTTTGCCTTGTTTGATTGTCTTCAAAGGAAAAAATAGCACTCGCTGTGCGTTAGTTGTTTTCCGTCACAAATGCTTTCGTAGCTTGCGTTAACAGGTTTGCACCGCTGCACCACATTGTTTTTGCTTGTCGTAAAAACACACATGCAGCCTTACAGCTAGCAGCCTCTATAAGTCACAGCACATCGACACTTCGAGACGTTTTATTGGGTTTATAAGGGTTGCTTCACCACATAAGTTACATACTTCACCACATAAGTTACATACGCGTAGTTTCGAGCGGCACATTTTTTCCCATAAGCGGTCCCTGGCCGATGCAGGGGCTTTCAGGGGTGAGCAACGCTCGCGGTGGCCCCCGCCCTGCAGAAAGGGGCAGCACCCACCGGGCCAGGGCCTGCACCAGCTTGGAATGGCGCAAGAAGAGGCAACAAACTTTTTTCGTAGGGAGAAGATGGGTTTGGGCAGGAAAAGCAAAAACCAAAAAACAATCCTTTTGAAGTCTGGCCGACAAGTTTCCCAGAAGATGTATTTTTTGGTTTTCTCCAAGAAAAGTTGGTTTTTCATACCAACAGCTTTTTTCCTTGGGAAAAGAGTTGGTGTTGATTGGAAGAGTACAGTGTTGCTGTTAAGGGCGTGCTCACATCCTAACCTGCACGAGTTGTCTGGCGGTTTTAGATTGGGAGAGCACCGTGTTGCTGTTGAGTGCATGCTCACATCGAACATGAAGGAATTGCCTGGCACGTTTTCTTGAATTTGAGTTTGGTTCTGGCAGTCTTTGAGAGATACGGAATTCGGACCAACCGGAACAAAGCGAGGGTTGGTGGTTCATGGAGGAGGCTACCATATGTGTGTGTGTGTATATATATATAGATATGTATGTATGTATGTATGTATGTATGTATGTATATATGTATGTATGTATGTATGTATGTATGTATGTCACGTATGTATGAATGTATGTATGAATGTATGAATGTATGAATGTATGAATGTATGAATGTATGAATGAATGAATGAATGAATGAATGAATGAATGAATGTATGTATGTATGTATGTATGTATATATGTATGTATATATATATATG